AGATCTTTAGACAGTCACTAGGCAGTCCAACATGGTAGACAGACATAGAGAGTCATTAGGCAGGTCAACATGATAGACTGACACAGAGAGTGACTAGGCAGGCCAACATAATAGACTGACACAGACAGTCACTAGGCAGGCCAACATGGTAGACAGTCACCGACAGTCACTAGGCAGGCCAACATGATAGATTGACACAGAGAGTGACTAGGCAGGCCAACATAATAGACTGACACAGACAGTCACTAGGCAGGCCAACATAACTGACTGACACAGAGAGTCACTAGGCAGGCCAACATGGTAGACTGACACAGACAGTCACTAGGCAGGCCAACATGGTACACTGACACAGATAGTCAGTAGGCAGGCCAACATGGTAGACTGACACAGAGAGTCAGTAGGCAGGCCAACATGGTAGACTGACACAGAGAATCAGTAGGCAGGCCAACATGGTAGACTGACACAGACAGTCACTAGGCAGGCCAACATGGTACACTGACACAGATAGTCACCGACAGGCCAACATGATAGATTGACACAGAGAGTCATTAGGCAGGCCAACATAATAGACTGACACAGACAGTCACTAGGCAGGCCAACATGATTGACTGACACAGAGAGTCACTAGGCAGGCCAACATGATTGACGGACACAGAGAGTCACTAGGCAGGCCAACATGGTAGACAGTCACCGACAGTCACTAGGCAGGCCAACATGATAGATTGACACAGAGAGTGACTAGGCAGGCCAACATAATAGACTGACACAGACAGTCACTAGGCAGGCCAACATGATTGACTGACACAGAGAGTCACTAGGCAGGCCAACATGGTAGACAGTCACCGACAGTCACTAGGCAGGCCAACATGATAGATTGACACAGAGAGTCACTAGGCAGGCCAACATGATAGACTGACACAGAGTCACTAGGCAGGCCAACATGGTAGACTAATACAGATAGTCACTAGGCAGGCCAACATGGTAGACTGACATGGAGAGTCACTAGGCAGGCCAACATGGTAGACAGACATAGAGAGTTATTAGGCAGGCCAACATGGTAGACTAATACAGATAGTCACTAGGCAGGCCAACATGGTAGACAGACACAGAGAGTCACTAGGCAGGCCAACATGATAGACTGACACTGACAGTCTGTCTGGTTTGTTGTTTAAAGCCGCACAATCCAGTGATTAATATCATGAGCATCGATCTACGCTATTGGGATCGATGACATGCATCAACCACCACAGCGAGCCTGACCCACCAATCCCTTGAGTCGCCTCTTTCGACAAGCATTGTCACCTTTTAAAGCAAGCATGGGTTGCTGAAGACCTTTTCTACCCCAGATCTTTAGACAGTCACTAGGCAGGCCAACATGGTAGACTGACATGCTTGTTGTTTGTTGTTTAAGGCCGCATTCAGCAATATTCCAGCTATATGACAGTGGTCTGTAAATAATCGAGTCTGAGCATCAATCCACACGATTGGGATACGATAACATGAATCAACCAAGTGAGCAAGCCACACCATCCAATCCCAAGTCGCCTTTTACCGAAGCAAGGGTAGCTGAAGACCTATTCTAACATGGATCTTTACGTGACTGACATGTATAGAGCGACCATTAGGCAGGGCCCAGTTTTATATATTGTACAGGGATATCCCATGCTATGCTATATATAATGAACAGGGACATCACATGGTGTTATATACAGTCAAGTCCTGTTAATTCGACATGGTTGGTTGCATATGATTATGTCGGATAACAAGTATGTCAGATAAACGAAAGTAAGAAGTATCAATTATCATGATCAAAAAACGGACAACTGCACAATAGATAACTATACGAACATGTGTTAGCGGAATATGTTTTCTTATCATGCAACCTCTCAAGCTTAACACAGAACTACAGTTATGCACTGTATGACTGATTTAAAATACTCTATAATCCATTGTCTGGAATGGAACTTGCCAGTTTAAAATTGGTGCCGCAAAGCTCTAGAAAGTCGCTTTCTCAGTGGCTTCTTGTTTATTTAAAACATTAATTGTTTATTGGTAAGCAAGTTTATCACTGCAGCCGTTGTAATATGCAGCTACTCGCCGACTCGTCTCGCATCAAGTTACAGGGCTGTCTACTCGCGGGCAGATGACCACTGAGAATGCTGATCGCTGTGTCGGATTAACAAGACTGATTAATTTCAGTAATTTGTTGCAAATTAGGTGTGTTGGAGTCGGAGTGCGAGACTGTCAGATTAACGGGTCTAAATAGCACTGATTTAATCGGTTCCCATCATTAGTGTCAGATAAAGCTGATTGTCGGTTAAACAGGTGTCAGATTAACGAGACTTGACTGTATATATTGTACAGGGACATCACATGGTGTGTTATACATATTGTACAGAGACATCACATGGTGTGTATATATTGTACAGGGACATCACATGATGTTTATCTTTTGTACAGTGAGTGAGTTGGGCTTAACGCCACTTTTAACAGTATTCCAGTTACGGCTTGTCAGCTTAATGTGGGAGGAAAGTCCGAAGTGATGAAGGTCTCAGATATTTACCACTTCAGTAAAACCCACGAGCATGGGTATGGTGCTGACAAACCTAGAAACATAATTTGGGCGAACCGGGATTCGAACCCACAATCATAGGTTTCTGACGTGCCCAAGAGACGTAACTCTGCACAGCGAATCGCGGCGCCTGAGACGACTTGGCCACCTGTGCCCCCCTTTTGTACAGAGACATCACGTTGTGTTATATATATATTGTGCAGGGACATCACAAGATGTGTTATACATATTGTACAGGGACATCACATGGTGTTATATATATATTGTACAGGGACATCACAAGATGTGTTATACATATTGTACAGGGACATCACATGGTGTTATATATATATTGTACAGGGACATCACATGGTGTGTATATATTGTGCAGGGACATCACATGGTGTGTAGTATATTGTACAGGGACATCACAAGGTGTGTTATACATATTGTACAGGGACATCACATGGTGTGTATATATATATTGTACAGGGACATCACATGGTGTGTATATATATATTGTACAGGGACATCACATGGTGTGTAGTATATTGTACAGGGACATCACAAGGTGTGTTATACATATTGTACAGGGACATCACAAGGTGTGTTATACATATTGTACAGGGACATCACAAGGTGTGTTATACATATTGTACAGGGACATCACAAGGTGTGTTATACATATTGTACAGGGACATCACATGGTGTGTAGTATATTGTACAGGGACATCACATGGTGTGTTATACATATTGTACAGGGACATCACATGGTGTTATATATATATTGTACAGTGACATCACATGGTGTGTTATATATATTGTACAGGGACATCACATGGTGTGTATATATTGTACAGGGACATCACATGGTGTGTATATATTGTGCAGGGACATCACATGGTGTGTAGTATATATTGTACAGGGACATCACATGGTGTGTATATATATATTGTACAGGGACATCACAAGGTGTGTATATATTGTACAGGGACATCACATGGTGTGTATATATTGTGCAGGGACATCACATGGTGTGTAGTATATTGTACAGGGACATCACATGGTGTGTATATATATATTGTACAGGGACATCACATGGTGTGTATATATATTGTACAGGGACATCACATGGTGTGTAGTATATTGTGCAGGGACATCACAAGGTGTGTTATACATATTGTACAGGGACATCACATGGTGTGTTATACATATTGTACAGGGACATCACAAGGTGTGTTATACATATTGTACAGGGACATCACATGGAGTGTTATACATATTGTACAGGGACATCACAAGGTGTGTTATACATATTGTACAGGGACATCACATGGTGTTATATATATATTGTACAGGGACATCACATGGTGTGTTATATATATTGTACAGGGACATCACATGGTGTGTATATATTGTACAGGGACATCACATGGTGTGTATATATTGTGCAGGGACATCACATGGTGTGTTATATATATTGTACAGGGACATCACATGGTGTGTATATATTGTACAGGGACATCACATGGTGTGTAGTATATTGTGCAGGGACATCACATGGTGTGTTATACATATTGTACAGGGACATCACAAGGTGTTATATATATATTGTACAGGGACATCACAAGGTGTGTATATATTGTACAGGGACATCACATGGTGTGTAGTATATATTGTACAGGGACATCACATGGTGTGTATATATATATTGTACAGGGACATCACATGATGTGTTATATATATTGTACAGGGACATCACATGGTATGTTAGATATATTGTACAGGGACATCACGTGGTGTGTATATATATATTGTACAGGGACATCACATGATGTGTTATATATATTGTACAGGGAAATCACATGGTGTGTTATATATATTGTACAGGGACATCACATGGTGTGTAATATATATTGTACAGGGACATCACATGGTGTGTATATATTGTACAGGGACATCACATGGTGTGTATATATTGTACAGGGACATCACATGGTATGTTATATATATTGTACAGGGACATCACATGGTATGTGATATATATTGTACAAGACATGGGGTTTAACATCGTGTTCAAGATTATTGCACTTATTTAGCGACATATATGCACGTGTGTGTGTGGCTGCTTGTACTAGTCCAGACTGATGCTGATTTATAGGGCTAGCCTGCTGAGATACCATGCCACAGTTTAACATGAATACCCCACTAAGATACAGTATACAGACTCTGAGCCGACCAGTCCTTGTTTTAGCCCATAAGGCCGAGCGCCAGACAGGGTAATAACAAGTACCATCTTTTAACATCTTTTGGTATGATGCGGTTTGGGATTGAACCTCTGACCTTCCGCTCTCTGGGCGGATGCTCTACCACTAGACCACGGAGGCGGTCTAACATAAAGCCACATCACATGGACAGATTTATATAATGTAGAGGTGACAACACATACCATCGACATTTACGATGTAGGTAAACTCCAAACTGCCATGATCATTCTTCACTTTACATGTGTAGTTTCCCTTGTCAGCAACACTGAGGTTCTCAAAGGTAAGTGAATGCTTCTTTATCTGAAAACAATAATTATATATAATTAGTATATATGGTGTTATTCCATGTTTTACCGGTATATATGGTGTTATTCCATGTTGTACCAATATATTTGGTGTTATTCCATGTTGAACCTGTCTATATGGTCCCATTCTATGTTGTACTGGTATATATGGTGTTATTCCATGTTGTACCAATGTATATGGTGTTATTCCATGTTGTACCGGTATAAATGGTGTAATTCCATGTTTTACCAGTATATATGGTGTCATTCCATGTTGTACCAGAATATATGGTGTCATTCCATGTAATACCGGTATATATGGTGTTATTCCATGTTGTACTGGTATAGATGGTGTTATTCCATGTTGTACCAATACCTATGGTGTCATTCCATGTTGTACCTGTATATATATGGTGTCATTCTAATGTGTACTGGTACATGTGGTGATATTCCACATTGTACCGGTACATATGATGTTATTCCATGTTGTACCGGGATAAATGGTGTTATTCCATGTTGTACCAATATATATGGTGTCATTCCATGTTGTACCGGTATATATGGTGTTATTCCATGTTCTACCGATATAAATGGTATCATTCCATGTTGTACCGGTATAAATGATGTTATTCCATGTTGTACCAATATATATGGTGTCATTCCATGTTTTACTAGTCTTTGGTGTCATTCCATATTGTACCAATATATATGGTGTCATTCCATGTTGTACCAATATGTATGGTGTTATACCATGTTGTACCGGTATATATGGTGTTATTCCATGTTTTACCACTATTTTGGTGTCATTCCATGTTGTACCGATATATATGGTGTCATTAATGCTGTACCAGTATTTTGTTGTTGTTCCCTGTTGTACCGGTACATATGGTGTTATTCCATGTTGTGCCAGTATATATGGTGTTATTCCATTTTGTACCATTATAAATGGTGTTATTCATGCTGTACCAATATATATGGTGTCATTCCATGTTGTACGGGTATAAATGGTGTTATTCCATATTGTACCGGTATATATTGTGTCACTCCATGTTGTACCAATATGTATGATGTTATTCCATGTTGTACTGGTATATATGGTGTTATTCCATGTTGTGCCAGTATATATGGTGTTATTCCATGTTGTACCTGTATATATATGGTGTCATTCATGCTGTACCAGTATTTTGGTGTTGTTCCATGTTGTACTGGTACATATGGTGTCATTTCATGTTGTACCAGTATATATGGTGTCAATCCATGTTGTACTGGTATACATGGTGTCATTCCATGTTGTACCAGTATATATGGTGTCATTCCATGTTGTACCGGTACATATGGTGTCATTTCATGTTGTACCGGTACATATGGTGTCATTTCATGTTGTACCGGTATATATATATGGTCTCATTCCATGTTGTACCGGAGATATGGTGTCATTCCATGTTGTACCAATATATATGGTGTCATTCCATGTTGTACCAGTATATATGGTGTCATTTCATGTTGTACCAGTATATATGGTGTCATTCCATGTTGTACCGGTGTATATACCGTATATCGCTGTGTATAAGGCGAGTTTTTCGTACCTAAAATGAGGGGGCTAAGAAGGGGGGTCGTCTTATACACGGAGTCGAAGATCTCACATTTTTTTCCACTGGCGATGTCAACCGGCGTCCGATAGCCAGCCCAGCATTTGACAATAAAACTTCGCATTTCGTCCTAAATAACTGTTCCAATAACTATTTCCATACATAAACATGATTTGTATCTCTTTTCCTTGAATAAAGTTTAATAATTTCTGCAAATAAAGTTGAAATGACCCTCTCCTCGATGCAGATTGTCAAACCAGCTGACACGGTAAAACAATCAACATCCGTGAGTAGAGAGCCGGAAGTACCGGTAATCATTTGCATATTGCACATGTGACCTAACATGTGATAACCGGTGAAGCTGAAATCAATTCCCGCTGTTTTTACAGTTGTATTAACAAGTGTTGGAGACGGTGTGTACAAGTGATTGTGGAATAAACACGCTGAATGTGAATCAAACATAAGCCTAGTTAGTTACAACATAGTTAATTGGCGATTAAATTACTCACCATTGTCTCTTATATGTTATTACTTCATAAATGAATTTTATTTTACGGGCACCAATTTGGTGTCGTACCATGTAAACACAAAATGGCGACGTGTGCCGGAGTTACACACGCGACCTATCATTGTAGAAAAAAAACAATGCAAGATAAACATATTTTTATTGCATATATAAGGTTTGTGTGTGCACTTGTGATGTGTGCGAAATTCGCATCAGTCGGAAAGCGCACATTAAATCTCCAAAGTAATTAACTAACTGATTTGTGATGTCCGTGTGCGAAATACGCTACAGAGCACGTTAAATCTTCTACCGGTATATCAGTCAGACTTGTGATGTGTTTCATTCCAGGTCGCCTTATACACGGAGTATAGGATTTTGGGTTGATTTTTAAGGCGTGTACAGGGGGGTCGTCTTATACGTGGAGTCACCTTATACACAGCGATATACGGTAGTGTCATTCCTTGTTGTACCTGTATATATGGTGTCATTCCATGTTGTACCAGTATATATGGTGTCATTCCATGTTTTACCAGTATATATGGTGTCATTCCATGTTGTACCGGAGATATGGTGTCATTCCATGTTGTACCAGTATATATGGTGTCATTCCATGTTGTACCGGTGTATATGGTGTCATTCCATGTTGTACCGGAGATATGGTGTCATTCCATGTTGTACCAGTATATATGGTGTCATTCCATGTTGTACCAGTATATATGGTGTCATTCCATGTTGTACCGGTGTATATAGTGTCATTCCTTGTTGTACCTGTATATATGGTGTCATTCCATGTTGTACCAGTATATATGGTGTCATTCCATGTTTTACCAGTATATATGGTGTCATTCCATGTTGTACCGGAGATATGGTGTCATTCCATGTTGTACCAGTATATATGGTGTCATTCCATGTTGTACCGGTGTATATGGTGTCATTCCATGTTGTACCAGTATATATGGTGTCATTCCATGTTGTATCGGTATATATGGTGTCATTCCATGTTGTACCAGTATATATGGTGTCATTTCATGTTGTACCAGTATATATGGTGTCATTCCATGTTGTACCAGTATATATGGTGTCATTCCATGTTGTACCGGTGTATATAGTGTCATTCCTTGTTGTACCTGTATATATGGTGTCATTCCATGTTGTACCAGTATATATGGTGTCATTCCATGTTTTACCAGTATATATGGTGTCATTCCATGTTGTACCGGAGATATGGTGTCATTCCATGTTGTACCAGTATATATGGTGTCATTCCATGTTGTACCGGTGTATATGGTGTCATTCCATGTTGTACCAGTATATATGGTGTCATTCCATGTTGTACCGGAGATATGGTGTCATTCCATGTTGTACCAGTATATATGGTGTCATTCCATGTTGTACCAGTATATATGGTGTCATTCCATGTTGTACCAGTATATATGGTGTCATTCCATGTTGTACCGGAGATATGGTGTCATTCCATGTTGTACCAGTATATATGGTGTCATTCCATGTTGTATCGGTATATATGGTGTCATTCCATGTTGTACCAGTATATATGGTGTCATTTCATGTTGTACCAGTATATATGGTGTCATTCCATGTTGTACCGGTGTATATGGTGTTATCTCATCAAGTAAGGCAACAAGGCATCACATGAGTGGTTTTCTTGGGCTGTGGATTTGTTTTATACTCACCACCAAAAGAAACACGAATACCATACATGTTGGTTAATATATGAACCTTACTCATATGCAATAGATTAAGACTGGTTCGAATCACAAATGAACATACTGGTAAGTTGTGTGAACCGATGCTCATGAACGCATCACATGTGACGTCATAGATCCATGACACGAGAAGCACAATTTGTCTCGTGCAGGATTAGCATTTGGTTTGGAAATCACTTGTAGCATATCGTGATTAGAATAGAGACACGCTGTGGGAATACTTGACTGAATTTTAGCTTGTCATTAATTGTTACACATTGGGAACATATCTTCTTAACGTATATTTCTCTATATTTCTGTGGTTTTGCGTTTATTTTGGCAGTGCATATATATTCTTAGGTCAAAATGAAGTACTAAATTTAGCTGAAATAACAAACATAATCAACGTAATATTAATAATCATTAATATTTCCATAACATACATGTTATAAAAGAGAGTATTTGTACAATAATTGCTGCCGTTGCTTACTGGTTGACATGGGGGACAGAGACAGGGACATATCTAGGTAATGGCCTACAAAAGACTGCATGGGCCTATATATACTTGTAACACTGCAGGAGCTATCACACAAATCATAATGGTGTCTCTGTATTTTAAAGTGTTTTGGCCCAAAGACACTTGCTTCAATAGCTAGAAGAGCAGCCAGGTATTGTTTTTAACCTTCTGACTTAACTAATCAGGAATCTATTTTGACCACCTCCAATTTTTAAGGCATAATAAAATGCCTAAACTTGCACTAATGTGTTTAGGGTGGAGTAATCATTAACTTGGAATAATAATTTCTGTCAGTTTTTTAAATGACCATAAAATTGCAATTGTTAAAAAACGTCAGTTTGAATAACTGTTTTCCCCCAACCTATAATTTGACTGGCTGGTTACTTTTAGAGAAGAACAAAATTACATGTCATAGAAACTGACACTTGTCCTAAAGCTGGAGTGAAAATTTGATGCCACTGTCAGCAATAGTAAAACTACATGACAGCATCCAGAACCTTCTGATGGTCTGGGTTACTTACAGTTATTTGGTCATTAGATGTAAGCTTGATGCCCTCTTTGTGCCAGGTTACTTTAGGCTTGGGTCTCCCTCGTGCAGCACAGTCCAGCTTGAGTGTTCTGTCTTCAAAAGCAGAGCGCATAGGGTCTTCCTCTGACTTGCGCCCCTTCCAGCGAGGCGCCTGACCATCTGTGGGAGGGACAGGATGACACTGTACAGTATACCCATGCACATCTCCAACTCCACTTATTGGAAGTACAAAATACTTGGATATTTGCCATATGCAGTTTGTGATTCTCAAACTTAACTTGTCAGTTAGAGAGCAATGCTAATGCATTGATTATCAACAGCTAGGTACTTTCCAAGTAATATATTTTTGGTTTTTTTTCAGCCACAAAAATATGAAAGTGTGATTTTTATAAAAAAAAGCACATAACTTCTGTTTCTGTGAGATGTGTTCAGGTGGCACTAACCTCCTTGTTTCAGTGAGATGTGTTCAGGTGGCACTAACCTCCCTGTTTCACTGAGACGTGTTCAGGTAGCACTAACCTCCCTGTCTCAGTGAGATGTGTTCAGGTGGCACTAACCTCCCTGTTTCAGTGAGATGTGTTCAAGTGGCACTAACCTCCCTGTTTCTGTGAGATGTGTTCAGGTGGCACTAACCTCCCTGTTTCAGTGACATGTGTCCAGGTGGCACTAACCTCCTTGTTTCAGTGAGATGTGTTCAGGTGGCACTAACCTCCTTGTTTCAGTGAGATGTGTTCAGGTAGCAATAACCTCCCTGTTTCAGTGAGATGTGTTCAGGTGGTACTAACCTCCCTGTTTCAGTGACATGTGTTCATGTAGCACTAACCTCCCTTTTTCTGTGAAATGTGTTCAGGTGGCACTAACCTCCTTGTTTCAGTGAGATGTGTTCAGGTAGCAATAACCTCCCTGTTTCAGTGAGATGTGTTCAGGTGGTACTAACCTCCCTGTTTCAGTGACATGTGTTCATGTAGCACTAACCTCCCTTTTTCTGTGAAATGTGTTCAGGTGGCACTAACCTCCCTGTTTCAGTGACGTGTTCAGGTAGCACTAACCTCCCTTTTTCTGTGAGATGTGTTCAGGTAGCAATAACCTCCCTGTTTCTGTGAGATGTGTTCAGGTAGCACTAACCTCCCTTTTTCTGTGAGATGTGTTCAGGTAGCAATAACCTCCCTGTTTCTGTGAGATGTGTTCAGGTGGCACTAACCTCCCTTTTTCTGTGAGATGTGTTCAGGTGGCACTAACCTCCCTGTTTCTGTGAGATGTGTTCAGGTGGCACTAACCTCCCTGTTTCTGTGAGATGTGTTCAGGTGTTACTAACCTCCCTGTTTCTGTGAGATGTGTTCAGGTGGCACTAACCTCCCTGTTTCTGTGAGATGTGTTCAGGAAGCACTTACCTCCCTGTTTCTGTGAGATGTGTTCAGGTGGCACTAACCTCCTTGTTTCAGTGAGATGTGTTCAGGTGGCACTAACCTCCCTGTTTCACTGAGACGTGTTCAGGTAGCACTAACCTCCCTGTCTCAGTGAGATGTGTTCAGGTGGCACTAACCTCCCTGATTCAGTGAGATGTGTTCAGGTGTTACTAACCTCCCTGTTTCTGTGAAATGTGTTCAGGTGGCACTAACCTCCCTGTTTCTATGAGATGTGTTCAGGTGGCACTAACCTCCCTGTTTCTGTGAGATGTGTTCAGGTGTTACTAACCTCCCTGTTTCTGTGAAATGTGTTCAGGTGGCACCAACCTCCCTGTTTCAGTGACATGTGTCCAGGTGGCACTGACCTCCTTGTTTCAGTGAGATGTGTTCAGGTAGCAATAACCTCCCTGTTTCAGTGAGATGTGTTCAGGTGGTACTAACCTCCCTGTTTCAGTGACATGTGTTCATGTACCACTAACCTCCCTTTTTCTGTGAGATGTGTTCAGGTGGCACTAACCTCCCTGTTTCAGTGACGTGTTCAGGTAGCACTAACCTCCCTTTTTCTGTGAGATGTGTTCAAGTAGCAATAACCTCCCTGTTTCTGTGAGATGTGTTCAGGTAGCACTAACCTCCCTTTTTCTGTGAGATGTGTTCAGGTAGCAATAACCTCCCTGTTTCTGTGAGATGTGTTCAGGTGGCACTAACCTCCCTTTTTCTGTGAGATGTGTTCAGGTGGCACTAACCTCCCTGTTTCTGTGAGATGTGTTCAGGTGGCACTAACCTCCCTGTTTCTGTGAGATGTGTTCAGGTGTTACTAACCTCCCTGTTTCTGTGAGATGTGTTCAGGTGGCACTAACCTCCCTGTTTCAGTGAGATGTGTTCAGGTGGCACTAACCTCCCTGTTTCTGTGAGATGTGTTCAGGAAGCACTTACCTCCCTGTTTCTGTGAGATGTGTTCAGGTGGCACTAACCTCCCTGTTTCAGTGAGATGTGTTCAGGTGGCAGTAACCTCCCTGTTTCAGTGACATGTGTTCAGGTGGCAGTAACCTCCCTGTTTCAGTGACATGTGTTCAGGTGGCACTAACCTCCCTGTTTCAGTGAGATGTGTTCAGGTGGCACTAACCTCCCTGTTTCAGTGAGATGTGTTCAGGTGGCAGTAACCTCCCTGTTTCAGTGAGATGTGTTCAGGTGGCACTAACCTCCCTGTTTCAGTGAGATGTGTTCAGGTGGCACTAACCTCCCTGTTTCAGTGACGTGTTCAGGTAGCACTAACCTCCCTGTTTCAGTGACGTGTTCAGGTGGCACTAACCTCCCTGTTTCAGTGACGTGTTCAGGTGGCACTAACCTCCCTGTTTCAGTGACGTGTTCAGGTGGCACTAACCTCCCTGTTTCTGTGACGTGTTCAGGTGGCACTAACTTCCCTGTTTCAGTGACGTGTTCAGGTGGCACTAACCTCCCTGTTTCAGTGAGATGTGTTCAGGTGGCACTAACCTCCCTGTTTCAGTGACGTGTTCAGGTAGCACTAACCTCCCTGTTTCAGTGACGTGTTCAGGTAGCACTAACCTCCTTGTTTCAGTGACGTGTTCAGGTGGCACTAACCTCCCTGTTTCAGTGACGTGTTCAGGTGGCACTAACCTCCCTGTTTCAGTGACGTGTTCAGGTAGCACTAACCTCCCTGTTTCAGTGAGATGTGTTCAGGTAGCACTAACCTCCCTGTTTCTGTGAGATGTGTTCAGGTAGCACTAACCTCCCTGTTTCTGTAAGTCGTTTTCAGGTAGCAGTAACCTCCCTGTTTCAGTGAGACGTGTTCAGGTAGCACTAACCTCCCTGTTTCAGTGACGTGTTCAGGTAGCACTTACCTCCCTGTTTCTGTGAGATGTGTTCAGGTAGCACTAACCTCCCTGTTTCAGTGACGTGTTCAGGTAGCACTAACCTCCCTGTTTCAGTGAGATGTGTTCAGGTAGCACTAACCTCCCTGTTTCAGTGACGTGTTCAGGTAGCACTAACCTCCCTGTTTCAGTGACGTGTTGAGGTAGCACTAACCTCCCTGTTTCTGTGAAATGTGTTCAGGTAGCACTAACCTCCCTGTTTCAGTGACGTGTTCAGGTGGCACTAACCTCCCTGTTTCAGTGACGTGTTCAGGTGGCACTAACCTCCCTGTTTCAGTGACGTGTTCAGGTAGCACTAACCTCCCTGTTTCAGTGAGATGTGTTCAGGTAGCACTAACCTCCCTGTTTCAGTGACGTGTTGAGGTAGCACTAACCTCCCTGTTTCTGTGAAATGTGTTCAGGTAGCACTAACCTCCCTGTTTCAGTGACCTGTTCAGGTGGCACTAACCTCCCTGTTTCAGTGACGTGTTCAGGTGGCACTAACCTCCCTGTTTCAGTGACGTGTTCAGGTAGCACTAACCTCCCTGTTTCAGTGAGATGTGTTCAGGTAGCACTAACCTCCCTGTTTCTGTGAGATGTGTTCAGGTAGCAATAACCTCCCTGTTTCAGTGAGACGTGTTCAGGTAGCACTAACCTCCCTGTTTCAGTGACGTGTTCAGGTGGCACTAACCTCCCTGTTTCAGTGACGTGTTCAGGTGGCACTAACCTCCCTGTGTCAGTGACGTGTTCAGGTGGCACTAACCTCCCTGTTTCAGTGACGTGTTCAGGTGGCACTAACTTCCCTGTTTCAGTGACGTGTTCAGGTGGCACTAACCTCCCTGTTTCAGTGAGATGTGTTCAGGTGGCACTAACCTCCCTGTTTCAGTGACGTGTTCAGGTAGCACTAACCTCCCTGTTTCAGTGACGTGTTCAGGTAGCACTAACCTCCCTGTTTCAGTGACGTGTTCAGGTGGCACTAACCTCCCTGTTTCAGTGACGTGTTCAGGTGGCACTAACCTCCCTGTGTCAGTGACGTGTTCAGGTGGCACTAACCTCCCTGTGTCAGTGACGTGTTCAGGTGGCACTAACCTCCCTGTTTCAGTGACGTGTTCAGGTGGCACTAACCTCCCTGTGTCAGTGACGTGTTCAGGTAGCACTAACTTCCCTGTTTCAGTGACGTGTTCAGGTGGCACTAACCTCCCTGTTTCAGTGAGATGTGTTCAGGTGGCACTAACCTCCCTGTTTCAGTGACGTGTTCAGGTAGCACTAACCTCCCTGTTTCAGTGACGTGTTCAGGTAGCACTAACCTCCCTGTTTCAGTGACGTGTTCAGGTGGCACTAACCTCCCTGTTCCAGTGACGTGTTCAGGTGGCACTAACCTCCCTGTTTCAGTGACGTGTTCAGGTAGCACTAACCTCCCTGTTTCAGTGAGATGTGTTCAGGTAGCACTAACCTCCCTGTTTCTGTGAGATGTGTTCAGGTAGCACTAACCTCCCTGTTTCTGTAAGTCGTTTTCAGGTAGCACTAACCTCCCTGTTTCAGTGAGATGTGTTCAGGTAGCACTAACCTCCCTGTTTCAGTGACGTGTTCAGGTAGCACTAACCTCCCTGTTTCTGTGAGATGTGTTCAGGTAGCAATAACCTCCCTGTTTCTGTGAGACGTGTTCGTTAGCACTAACCTCCCTGTTTCAGTGAGACGTGTTCAGGTAGCACTAACCTCCCTGTTTCTGTGAAATGTGTTCAGGTAGCACTAACCTCCCTGTTTCTGTGAGATGTGTTCAGGTAGCACTAACCTCCCTGTTTCTGTGACGTGTTCAGGTAGCACTAACCTCCCTGTTTCAGTGAGATGTGTTCAGGTAGCACTAACCTCCCTGTTTCAGTGACGTGTTCAGGTAGCACCAACCTCCCTGTTTCAGTGACGTGTTCAGGTAGCACTAACCTCCCTGTTTCTGTGACGTGTTCAGGTAGCACTAACCTCCCTGTTTCTGTGAAATGTGTTCAGGTAGCACTAACCTCCCTGTTTCTGTGAGATGTGTTCAGGTAGCACTAACCTCCCTGTTTCTGTGACGTGTTCAGGTAGCACTAACCTCCCTGTTTCAGTGAGATGTGTTCAGGTAGCACTAACCTCCCGGTTTCAGTGACGTGTTCAGGTAGCACCAACCTCCCTGTTTCAGTGAAGTGTTCAGGTAGCACTAACCTCCCTGTTTCTGTGACGTGTTCAGGTAGCACTAACCTCCCTGTTTCTGTGACGTGTTCAGGTAGCACTAACCTCCCTGTTTCTGTGAGATGTGTTCAGGTAGCAATAACCTCCCTGTTTCAGTGACGTGTTCAGGTAGCACTAACCTCCCTGTTTCAGTGACGTGTTCAGGTAACAGATGTCAGATGTGTTCAGGTTGTATAAATCACCCTGGTCAAATCAGATGTGTTCAGGAGGTACCAAACGTCATGTTCAAGTGAAATGTGTAGCTTTGTGCTTACCTTTCTTGTTCTTCCTCTTCTTGGCAGCAACACCAAACATACATATAGCCAGAATGACTGTTAGAGCAATGACACTGCTGCATTTCATGTTGGGGTTTGTTTGTGGTTACTTGGAGCTAGGATCTGGTCATAATTTGAGCCACCTGAAAACATGACACACAGTGTGTTCAATACTGTTCATATACTGACACATACAATAGTAAAAGCAACACAACCCTTTCCAAAGCCACAAGAAATGTTTTGTCAATTTTACAAATTTGACTGTATCATGAGAATGTGTTTATGAATCACTATCAAATAATGATGATACCAGGTGCTTGCGAAAAAGTGAGCGCTAAACTGTCGCTATGGTAGCACCCGTCACAAACACATGCAAATAGGGCTGGGACAGTTAACTCGGGTACCCGGGTCGGGAGGGTACTGAGTAGGACCCGGGTACCCACAGGACTATCCTGACCCGTGGTTAGTCATGTGACATATAGTTTAATGACAAAAATTATCTAGAACTCTATGGTTACACTACAAGTCACTAATGTTCGCATTTCTTTCTTACGATGCACCCATTCCTTCTGACTTTTCATATGGTTGAATAAAGATATAACTTAAGTCAACTTCAGTGTATGCATGACCAGATCATTTAATACATGTATCTAAATACGTTTTGCAAGTGCTGTGGTAAAAAAAAATTCCCAATCGGACATTTTGTATTTCTTAAGACCTACAGTGGGTACCCGGATAGGGTTGGGTAATAGGGAGGTGGGTACCCAGGTACCCGGGTACTAAGTTTGGACTCATCCTAGCCCTACATGCAAAGGCAAATCAATAGTTCGCCTAAAAAAAACTACAGGAACATATGGTACAAGTCAAAATATGGAAATTGCATCGGACACCCTTTTGGACTCTGATGCCTCAAATTTGGAAATGTCCTCCACATGTCAACTACAAAACTTTTTAAAAGCTTTACTGAGGCCTTGAATTAAACATATTTTGAACAAGAGTCGAATGATGCTCATACATCATGTACACAAATAAACTTCAGAGTTTTGAATTCTGCGAATAATTTTCTGTTTTGTGATATCATCCATTTTAGGAGCAAACTAGGATCCTCGTTTATATAGCTATTCTGGTCATTTTACTAAATCACCATTCATAGCATTATTCTGTGTATGTTTTTAACTCTATCAGATATTTACTTGGAAAATTCAATAAATTGTGATCACATGTAATCACCAATGATTATCTGAAATGTCTCTAAACACCCCAGAATCGTTTAGCATGTTTTAGCATGTTTTAGATTTCTAATATGCCGAAGTTAACTCTCCATCACATTGGTTAGTGTTCACAAAATCTTCTCATATGCCGGTCATGAGACACCTTTTACAATGTATCATATTTCATACTCAGCTGCAATACATACATCACTGAATTCCTCACACGTTACTAGTTTTAATACATTTTTCATTTTATTTTAGAGGTGAAAGGCTGCTGGCTACAGAAATAGTGACACAAAATGCAGAACTAATACATATCTCAAATAACTGGTTACATCACAGTTATTTTAGTTATTTTGAAGTAGTATTTATCAAGTTGTGTTTATGTACCAGAAGGTTTGGAATAACTCCCCAGTATCATACTTTAATACATGCTAGTATTCAAAATGACTATCACTCCACTTCAAACTTTGACATGGCTAAACTAACCTATTTTCGTTACTCTTCATTGACCCTGGCTGCCCAAAAAGTTGTTCACGGTGACAGTGCTATTTACAAGTTGCATGAAGTCAGGACAACCCCGATCTGTAACTATGTACACCATAAACATGATGATTTACTATGGAATTGAGCCTTCTAACACAACCTTACTGCCAACAGAACCACCCTGTAGTATTGCTGAAAACTGACATGTGTAAGATGAGTTGGCATTTTACAACACAAAGTGTCGGAGAGACTGCTCTTTTTTATGAGCTATGATCGTGTGGCTCTGACACAGTCATTCGTGTCTGTTTTACATAATTGTGTTTCATGTTTAATATACTGTTGTTATGATAACTAATTTAAACAATTCTACTGGTTTATCGGCAGGCATTGTCATATGTATAGATGCATAGTCTATCCATATATAAATGTTTTTATACGTTTTTTGTTTGAAAATGCATGTTAATTTTGAGACATTGAATGAATTAGTTACTGGATTTCAATTTCATTTTGACCAATCAGAAACATGCATTTAAAATATGTCACTGTCAAACTTAAAATAAGAGGTATCAAAATTAATATGACGACCTCAAATTTCAAACAGTAGGATTATCACCAAGTGCCTGTGCAAGTATCATCAAGTGACGAGAGATGTTTGTGAGCCTTTATGGTCTTCGGACAAGGGCAGAATTTTCTGGATGTAATTTGAACAGAAACAATTTAAATCAAGCAACAGAACAGGAAGGAGTATCAGTGGCATATATGCTTAGATTTGGCTGGTTTGAATCATGAAGATCAAAGCAGTGTTTTGTCACATCACTGTTTGTGCTAAACCTGTGACACACCCTATGTCGTTGACCTTAACATGGGAATAATTGTGGGTGAGGTCATGTGGACTTTCAACTATGCACCTGCCAAACCCTTACATGAGATCCAACCAAACCTTCCTTTGAAGGCCAATTGGCTCATCTTCCGATTCGTTCTGTCTGATCTTCAACAAATCCTCCTCCCAAATAGGCTCATAGAGAGTCACTATGTCCAACCCTGGTTTCCCCAGTATCCCCAGAAAGACACTGTTCACACCAGCAAACTCTTGGTCCTGTGCTACATGCTGAAAGGACACTTAAACGTGTCTGACGAAGATGGCGATGAATATCGGTCACAAAAATGTACATCATATATTGTCATGAATAAAGTGGGTCTTTTTCACACATTTCTAATGTTTTTTATTACTGTTATTATCATTTGTTTCATGGCAAAAATTACTAAACATTCAACTAAAACTTTTAGGGCTATAAATATAATCATTTGTATGCAAATGATATGCCATGGTTAAAGTGTTATCATCTCATGATTACACCAACATTTAAGGTTAAGGTCTTGAATGTCAAAATTATCACCAAAACCCTCCAATAATGTTCAGACATTGAATGTATACAGTTCCGATGGGTTATCAAGGCCATATCTTATAATATGCAACCAAAACTATTTAGAGCAAATATGTTAATAGCCATTTCTAACTACACATATACAATACTGTCTGCATATACTGACACACCACATCACTGTCTGCACATACTGACACACCCTCACAACACTGTCTGCACATACTGACACACCTTCAGAAAACTGCATATACTGACACACGACATCACTGTCTGCATATACTGACACACTCACAACATTGTCTGCACATACTGACACACCTTCAGAAAACTGCTTATACTGACACCCCACATCACTGTCTGCATATACTGACACCCTCACAACACTGTATACATATACTGACACACCCTCACAACACTGTATACATATACTGACACCCTCACAACACTGTATACATATACTGACACACTCTCACAACACTGTATACATATACTGACACACCCTCACAACACTGTGTACATATACTCACACACCCTCACAACCCTGTATACATATACTCACACACTCACAACACTGTATACATATACTGACACACTCACAACACTGTATATATATATACTGACACACCCTCACAACACTGTAAACATATACTGACACACCCTCACAACACTGTATACATATACTGACACACCCTCACAACACTGTATACATATACTGACACACCCTCACAACACTGTGTACATATACTGACACACCCTCACAACACTGTATACATATACTGACACACCCTCATAACACTGTATACATATACTGACACACCCTCACAACACTGTATACATATACTGACACACCCTCACAACACTGTATACATATACTGACACACTGACAACACTGTATACATTTACTGACACACTCACAACACTGTGTTCATATACTGACACACCCTCACAACACTGTGTACATTTACTGACACCCTCACAACACTGTGTTCATATACTGACACACCCTCACAACACTGTGTACATATACTGACACACCCTCACAACACTGTATACATATACTGACACACCTTCACAACACTGTATACATATACTGACACACTCACAACACTGTGTACATTTACTGACACCCTCACAACACTGTGTTCATATACTGACACACCCTCATAACACTGTATACATATACTGACACACCCTCACAACACTGTATACATATACTGACACACCCTCACAACACTATACATATACTGACACACCCTCACAACACTGTATACATATACTGACACACTGACAACACTGTATACATATACTGACACACTCACAACACTGTGTTCATATACTGACACACCCTCACAACACTGTGTACATTTACTGACACCCTCACAACACTGTGTTCATATACTGACACACCCTCACAACACTGTGTACATATACTGACACACCCTCACAACACTGTATACATATACTGACACAGTCACAACACTGTGTTCATATACTGACACACCCTCACAACACTGTGTTCATATACTGACACACCCTCACAACACTGTGTACATATACTGACACACCCTCACAACACTGTATACATATACTGACACACCCTCACAACATTTAATACATATACTGACACACCCTCACAACACTGTGTTCATATACTGACACACCCTCACAACACTGTGTACATATACTGACACACCCTCACAACACTGTGTACATATACTGACACACCCTCATAACACTGTTTACATATACTGACACACTGACAACACTGTATACATATACTGACACACTCACAACACTGTGTTCATATACTGACACACCCTCACAACACTGTGTACATTTACTGACACACCCTTACAACACTGTATACATATACTGACACACCTTCACAACACTGTATACATATACTGACACACCCTCACAACACTGTGTACATATACTGACACACCCTCACAACACTGTGTTCATATACTGACACACCCTCACAACACTGTGTACATATACTGACACACCCTCACAACACTGTATACATATACTGACACACCCTCACAACACTGTATACATATACTGACACACCCTCACAACACTGTGTTCATATACTGACACACCCTCACAACACTGTGTACATATACTGACACACCCTCACAACACTGTGTACATATACTGACACACCCTCATAACACTGTATACATATACTGACACACCCTCACAACACTCTATACATATACTGACACACCCTCACAACACTGTGCACATATACTGACACACCCTCACAACACTGTATACATATACTGAAACACTCACAACACTGTGTACATACTGACATATTTAACACAACTTTCAGGGAAAGAATACATTACTGCTCTCCCCAAGTAATGTGCCCAAAGTTCAAGGAATCCTCTATGTGAATAGAAAGTGTTCTTTTTCCAACAGGATCCCTAAATTTATCTTTACTCTGAGGAGTGTTTTGTACTGTCTTCTCCGAATATGATAGGGATATTTCACAAGCTAGATACATTAGTCCAGTTCAGAACAATGTGCGTATTATTTTGAAGTATTTGTTTGAGCGGTATTCTGATGATGAAGCCGACCTCCTGTTGACCTGATACACTACATATGTGTGCATCAACATAGCCTACCCTGCTGTCAGAACCATTACACAGACAGAAAGCTTGTATCAGTCTCCACCACATCTGGCCATCAGCCCTGCTGGCAGGAAGGAGTCTACGCCTCCACACCTGCCTCACACCCTTAGTTGGATCAGTCCACAAAGCATTCTTTGCATATGGTCCTGTCCATAAATGAAACAGGGGTAGAGGCAATTTTAAGTCTTCCAAAAAGATTATGAGCCATCCATGTTGAGTGATGAACTGCCCACCTGCCATGGCCCCATCAAACATAGTTGACAACTGGACAGAAAGGGAGGGAGGAAAGGGGTACAAACAAACCTTCATGCAATAAACCAACAACTTCAAAAACTTACGATTGTTTGTAATTCTTATTTCTTTATATCCCGCCACAGATTAAATGGCCATGTTTACATGTGTCCTCTCTAATTTTGGTTGTTTCTTGAGACACTTCAGGAAATTATCAGGACTTGAAACAGCAGTCACATCCATATATTTCAAATAAATTGGACATTCCCTCTGCAATACTTGTTGTGGTGAGTAGAGCATGAAATACACAGAATAGTTGTGCTGGCTACAGTTCCAGACCCCAGCAGCAGTACATATGCATCCAAGCCGGACACCACCACTCATCTCAGTCTCTAGGAACTGTCTACTTACATCTTGAAAATCTATGACTTAATTCCATGGTTCATGAAACAATTTTGCCAGAAGAGCAGTTACTTAGAAAAACTTCAATCCTATATTTACAGAATTCTTAGTCGTGCAGTTTCTCCTCCCTTCATAAATAGTGTTGCTTTTGATGAGGTATCCTAATATAATATAAGAAATAGGGATGTCAGGTAGTAATCAAAACATAGTGACAAAAGCAATTAGCCATAATTACCATCGCTGTAATAACCAAATGAATCTCTGGCCACAGTTACATGTATCTGTTGGGTGCCTAGGGGTCCTAAGCCTTGCATAACAATGTTGTAGGGCTGCTGAGCTGGATGTGAGGAGAGATGCCCTGCAGATTGGACCCCTGGGGCGAGCTGCCCTGGCAGGGATGGGTCCCTGTAGTCTGCATTGTGTGGACAGTGTTACATAATGTTACCTTTATCAACCTGCCATGTGGGACAACCACAAAGCCTCAAACAGAACACAGCCTCTAAGTTTGTTTTTTACCGGGGAGCCAGGTGACTCCTAGCATAAATATTTTAGGGGCCAAATGCAAGGAGCCAGAGTGACTCAGTGAGAATTTGAGACAGGACATATGGTTGCAGGGGTTTCATTGTGTCAAGTATAAAGATGGGCATTTAATTGTACATTAAATAATAATATGAATATTTCCTTTTTCGTACAATATTATTTTAGAATTGGGTACACCTGGCAAAACATCTACAGTGCCAGGTACCCCTGGCAAAACATCTACGGTGCCAGGTACCCCTGTCAAAACATCTACAGTGCCAGGTACACCTGTCAAACATCTACAGTGCCAGGTACACCTGTCAAAACATCTACAGTGCCAGGTACACCTGTCAAAACATCTACAGTGCCAGGTACACCTGTCAAAACATCTACGGTGCCAGGTACCCCTGTCAAAACATCTACGGTGCCAGGTACCCCTGTCAAAACATCTACGGTGCCAGGTACCCCTGTCAAAACATCTACAATGCCAGGTACACCTGGCAAAACATCTACAGTGCCAGGTACCCCTGTCCACACAAAACTATTCAATCCACAATGATTCCCGAGCGACAGTCATTGTATTATTTTCAGTTTCAAAATCAGCTTATTTTTTATATCATTGACAGACTGTTACACATTTATTTCTTATGTCATTGACAGACTGTTACAAACTCTGGATTTAGTGTCTTTTTACAACTTATTTTATTGTGAATATGTCAGATTGTGAAAATGTAATTACTGACAGTTTCAAAAATGATTATTAATAATATTACTGGTAAACTAGGAAAACAAACACCAGTTTGCACATTTTCTAACTGGTTTTGGAATTCTCATGAAACTGTGCCGAGTTATCCAAGTAATTGGTACGGGTTTACAAATGGATACACTTCAGGTCCAATAGACACTGGATCAGCAGGGTCTACAAATGGATACACTTCAGGTTCAATAGACACTGAATCAGCAGGGTCTACAAATGGATACACTTCAGGTTCAATAGACACTGAATCAGCAGGGTCTACAAATGGATAAACCTCAGGTTCAATAGACACTGGATCAGCAGGGTTTACAAATGGATACACTTCAGGTTCAATAGACAGTGGATCAGCAGGGTCTACAAATGGATACACTTCAGGTTCAAAAGACACTGGATCAGCAGGGTTTACAAATGGATAAACCTCAGGTTCAATAGACACTGGATCAGCAGGGTCTACAAATGGATACACTTCAGGTTCAATAGACACTGGATCAGCAGGGTCTACAAATGGATAAGCAGGGTTTACAAATGGATAAACCTCAGGTTCAATAGACACTGGATCAGCAGGGTCTACAAATGGATACACTTCAGGTTCAATAGACACTGGATCAGCAGGGTCTACAAATGGATACACTTCAGGTTCAATAGACACTTGATCAGCAGGGTCTACAAATGGATACACTTCAGGTTCAATAGACACTGGATCAACAGGGTCTACAAATGGAAAAACCTCAGGTTCAATAGACACTGGATCAGCAGGATCTACAAATGGATACACTTCAGGTTCAATAGACACTGGATCAGCAGGGTCTACAAATGGATACATTAAAATAGTAAATGAACACAAAACTGATTTAAATCTATTCTTCCCTGAAAAAATATACTATGTGCTGATAGCAGAAGTGATGAGTGATGTGGTATCCACTTAGTTTTCAATAAATTGACTTCGAAGACAGAGATTTTCGAATCTGTGACAAGCAATCTTTATACACATGTTTGTATGTTAATTCCCTTCTATACAAGACAGCCAAATGATTTAACAAGGGAGATACTCTCTAAGCAATACTTCAACAGTCCTCCTTAGTGCCTTAAGCTGCAGCCTTGACTTCCAAATACCCACCACTGTTATCATCCTTTCTTTATGTTTAACCCCCTGGATGCAAGAGGGACATACATGTCCCTCCTGTTCAACTCTCACTTTGAAGTGAAAAAAAATTCAACATACATCAAAATACATACACAAATACACTTCATAGTTTTGAATTCTGTGGCAAATTCCCTGGTCTATGCTAGACAAAGCAAAATTACTGAAAATCACCTCTGAAAATTAGGCATATGGTAAATGTCGCCATTTTTTACACATTACTAAATCACCGTTCACAGTGTTATTTACAGTATGTCTAACCACCTCCCTGGTCTAGTGGTAGAGCGTCCGCCCGGAGAGAGGAAGGTCCGGGGTTCGATCCCTGGCCGCATCATACCAAAAGACGTTAAAAGATGGTACTTGATGTTACCCTGTCTGGCGCTCGGCATTAAGGGGCAAAAACAAGAACTGGTCAGCTTGGAGTCAGTATACTGTGTCTGAGTGGGTTATTCTTGTTAAACTGCTAGCACTATAAATCAGCATCAGTCCGGACTAGTACAAGCAGCCACACACACACACGGGCATGCACGTCGCTATATAAGTGCAATAATCTTAGACGCGACGTTAAACCCAATTTCACCTCACCTACAGTATGTCTTGAAATCTAAACTTCCGATATTTACTTAGTTAAATGAATTTCAAAAATAGCATTTTAGTAATCACAGGTATTTGTTTTTTATCAATCACCAATGATCATTCCAAAACATTGGTACACTATAACTGTTTATAATGTTTTGGAAAATACGCAAAAATGTACACTGAAGTGAACTTTGTGCCATATTGGACAGTGTTTACAAAATTACATTTCATGTATGCCCGTTATGAGATGCCGATTACAGCACATATATTTCAAACTCAGCTGCGATACACTCCTTGAATTTCAAAAACTTTTTACAATCAAATGGCAAATGGTCCTTATCACCAATACAAAGTGTTTAGATGAAATCAAGCAAAATAAATTAAGTAAATTAATCTGAGACAAGATGAAGAGAAATAATCACATAATAATGAACAAATACATGTCCAATATTGAAAATTATTTTTTTTGTTTTGAAATATTCTTTTGGGTATTTGATCATGTAATATTGATGCCAAACAGGTGCATGTCTTGTCCAATTAAGAGACATGGTAAAATTATCTAATTGTTTATCTATTCAAGACATTATTTACATGGTAAAAACAGTCATTTTATGTAGTGTCGAAAAAGCATATAATTCTGTTTTACACATTGAGATTTTCTTTACCATGAATAAAAATAAGGTGATATATATATTAATCAAATTACCAATGTTGTCTTTCTCCAATGTCGTCAAAGACATAAAACCAGCCATGATCATACTTTCTTTTAGTTATTCATTACATTAGATGATAAGGCTGTGATCCATTAATAATGGTGCAACATTAGTCAAATGACAGTTACACAATCAGGAGAATGTTGGAATCTAAAGACTACTTTATCTGTTAGATAGGGCCATCCATTTCACTATTACTCCTTTTTTATATAATCATTTTTTATGTTTTGTTTTATACCTTACGTATACAGTTTCAATATCAATCTTTCTGTTGGAATAGTTTGGTTCCTCATGAACAAAAATCATGCATGTATATAATTGTCCTTATCCACATTAAATTCTCACCAAGTGACCTGAGTTACAATGAACTAGTGGTAAGTATAGAAGAGTTATGCCCCCTTTTCTTTGTATATGTGTAACCATTCTGTCGTCTTGACGTAATATAGGAAAATCACTTTTCATCATTTACGCCAAGGTAATTTTTCAGATCTTTGGAAAATGTGCAGCAGTAAAATAACTCGGCATCCAGCAGGTTAACAGACTGCATCAAAAGCAAACACAGGGCTCAATGTACCTCACAGAATAGCACCAAATGTCAAGCTGTGTTGATGTCATATCAACTAGCAATATCATGATCTAATCTAAATACTATATTGTTAGGGGACCAGTCAGAAGACATGATTCTCAAAATGTCATGGTAGAATTAACATTAAGCCTAATATACAAAGAACTGAGTGCTTTATAGACTTTCCATACTAATCCAATTGTTTCTTCTTTATAATGAGGATGTGGCCTGGGATAGCTAATGAGGGACAAAACAGTTCAAACTATTAAATACAACACAGATACAAAATTGAATGTGCCGCTACTCTCACTGTCAACAGTGACTTCTCCTTGCATTATCTGTGTGTTTATTGCAAGTCTCTCAGTCTGGACCGAGCAAAGCCCTCAGCTGAATAAAATAATAGCATATGTTTGATTTTTTTAGGTTTCCAAAATGAACACAGTAGTCCCTCTATTTATTTTGAAAAAGCAGCAAAAGTTCTAATATTCTCCTTCTTCAGGATAACACTTTTCTGAAGGCGGTGTTGCTATGGTAACTTGGGCACTTCATAAAATAAAAACAATCAGAAGGGCAATGTCTGCAGTTTTGAGAGAACAGCTGGAGAAAGGATCATGCCCAGCTGATGTGCAGGAGGGGATGGAGTAAAGCTTCCAAGGCATGTTTATTGCTTGTAGAATAACATCAAACTTGCAATATTAGGAAACGTTATTTGGCTATTTGAAACATTTGACCAATGTGTCCAAAACAGCAGTCGTCAGTCAGTTGCAGTCAAAACACTGGACTATCCTAAAGGGCTGCACCAGGACACTGAGAATAACTGGTGAGAATGGCTCCCCACCTACAGCAGGACATGACACTGAGAATAGCTGGTAAGAATGGCTCCCCACCTACAGCAGGATGTGACACTGAGAATAGCTGGTGAGAATGGGTCCCCACCTACAGCAGGATGTGACACTGAGAATAGCTGGTGAGAATGGCTCCCCACCTACAGCAGGATGTGACATTAAGAATAGCTGATGAGAATGGCTCCCCACCTACAGCGGGACATGACACTGAGAATAGCTGGTGATAATGGCTCCCCACCTACAGGAGGATTTGACACTGAGAATAGCTGGTGAGAATGGCTCCCCACCTACAGCAGGATGTGACACTGAGAATAGCTGGTGAGAATGGCTCCCCACCTACAGCAGGACATGACACTGAGAATAGCTGGTGAGAATGGCTCCCCACCTACAGTAGGATTTGACACTGAGAATAGCTGGTGAGAATGGCTCCCCACCTACAATAGGACGTGACACTGAGAATAGCTGGTGAGAATTGCTCCCCACATTCAGCAGGATGTGACACTGAGAATAGCTGGTGAGAATGGCTCCCCACCTACAGCAGGACATGACACTGAGAATAGCTGGTGAGAATGGCTCCCCACCTACAGCAGGACATGACACTGAGAATAGCTGGTGAGAATGGCTCCCCACCTACAGCAGGATGTGACACTGAGGATAGCTGGTGAGAATGGCTACCCACCTACAGCAGGATGTGACACTGAGAATAGCTGGTAAGAATGGCTCCCCACATTCAGCAGGATGTGACACTGAGAATAGCTGGTGATAATGGCTCCCCACCTACAGCAGGATTTGACACTGAGAATAGCTGGTGAGAATGGCTCCCCACCTACAGCAGGACATGACACTGAGAATAGCTGGTGAGAATGGCTCCCCACCTACAGTAGGATGTGACACTGAGAATAGCTGGTGAGAATGGCTCCCCACCTACAGCAGGATGTGACACTGAGAATAGCTGGTGAGAATGGCTCCCCACATTCAGCAGGATGTGGCACTGAGAATAGCTGGTGAGAATGGCTCCCCGCCTACAGCAGGACGTGACACTGAGAATAGCTGGTGAGAATGGCTCCCCACCTACAGCAGGATGTGACACTGAGGATAGCTGGTGAGAATGGCTCCCCACCTACAGCAGGATGTGACACTGAGAATAGCTGGTGAGAATGGCTCCCCACCTACAGCAGGATGTGACACTGAGGATAGCTGGTGAGAATGGCTCCCCACTTACAGCAGGATGTGACACTGAGAATAGCTGGTGAGAATGGCTCCCCACCTACAGCAGGATTTGACACTGAGAATAGCTGGTGAGAATGGCTCCCCACCTACAGCAGGATGTGACACTGAGAATAGCTGGTGAGAATGGCTCCCCACCTACAGCAGGATGTGACACTGAGGATAGCTGGTGAGAATGGCTCCCCACTTACAGCAGGATGTGACACTGAGAATAGCTGGTGATAATGGCTCCCCACCTACAACAGGATTTAACACTGAGAATAGCTGGTGAGAATGGCTCCCCACCTACAGCAGGACATGACACTGAGAATAGCTGGTGATAATGGCTCCCCACCTACAGCAGGATTTGACACTGAGAATAGCTGGTGAGAATGGCTCCCCACATTCAGCAGGACATGACACTGAGAATAGCTGGTGAGAATGGCTCCCCACCTACAGCAGGACATGACACTGAGAATAGCTGGTGAGAATGGCTCCCCACCTACAGCAGGACATGACACTGAGAATAGCTGGTGAGAATGGCTACCCACCTACAGCAGGACGTGACACTGAGAATAGCTGGTGAGAATGGCTCCCCACATTCAGCAGGACATGACACTGAGAATAGCTGGTGAGAATGGCTCCCCACATTCAGCAGGATGTGACACAGGAGATGATAAAGATCATTTATCATAGGTTTGAAAAGTGAATCAATTGGAAAAGAAAACTCAATTGATACCACATCACTCATCACTTCCTCTATTACCCTAGTTTTTATTTGGCATGGTCTTTCAGTCAGGTCAGCTGCAACCGTAACACGAAACACAACCGTAATCTTTCGTTGCAAAATGTCCAGATACACTTGTGTTTGGACTATGTTTTTAACTCTTCCACTTCATCAAATTCTAACCTACTATGCGTGGTTTCAATAAGCATCCATTTTGGTAATTATATGTGAGTAACAAGGGTGCATAATACAGTAAATATAGTAACAATTGGTTGTCACTGATGTCCTGCCGTCCCCCATTAACAATTGTGGCACACAGACAGATGAGGGCAAGAAGTAGCCCTGAAAGGTCATTACAAAGAATAAAAGAAGTTGTTAATGTTATCCATAAAAAGGTGTTGTGTATTCATTTCTTAGTTATGGCAGTAAAGCAGAATAAAAAAAAACTGATACACAATTCCTCTGTGGTTCATTGTCACTGAGTTTTTCTCAGCTGATATATAGAGAGTACCAAAACAGTTTGTTTTTGGTGATGCTTCTTCAAATCCCATCTGCAGTAGAAAAAAAAAAATTACACTTGCTTCAATTTGATATCAGGATATTGAATGAAAATTATTTCTTCAAGGTCTATAAATGTTCACCTTGATGTTAAACTGAAGCTTGTGGATAAATATCATGTGAGTATTTTACATACTTTAACAATAACAAAAGAATAGACCACCTAACTCACTGACAATCTGCATTGAGGTAAGTTCAACAAGTGGACAGACATTTTAACATAAACTGCTAATCATTCTTATTTAATTCTTAATTAAAAACATAGCAAGGGAATAAACATTTTGTAAATTACCGATCATATTGACTGTTCAGTAATTTAGAAGATTCATAATAATCTTACAGCAAGGGATTAGTAAATTGGAACAAAACTATGTTGAGATGTTCTGATGTGTTGCAGCTGCCTGCATCCTTTCATGGTTTAAGCAAGTGCAGATCATCAAAGATACTTTGTTAAAAAGCATTAGTTTATATGTGATCAAAACAAGCACTGCATGCACTTCTTGGCCAGAGTCTGGTAGCCCTGTCGTAGGTCACACTGTATATATGCCTCTTACAGTAATACCACCTTGTATGTAGTGTACAACAATTAATGACCACTCTTTCACCTCCAATGTAAGCGGTAGTTACTAAAGTGCCACTGTGTGCTCCCTCCTTGAAGTACTGCACTGGACTGTATGGCTAGCTGTATATGGCTGCCAACCTGACATCATGTAGTGGAAACCTTAGCTCCCCCTGCAACACAACTAGCCAACTTGCATACCTTCTTACACCTGACTGTTAAATACTCCAGGAATTTGTGATGACACAACACCAGAAGTACTCCAGATGTTTGGTAGAATTCCAGTCCATGCCACTCCCAAAGTTACAAATTATAAAGTTGTATCTGGTGAGTTGAGTGTATCAAAGTTTTGCACTACACCTCTGTATCCTGCACCATCTCTCTTCAAACGGGAAGCCAACTGGCCTGGTTCCAGACTTCCAGGGCTCCCCAGGAGGGGCGGGAGGCACCCAATCCAATTCTTCCATCAATCAACATACTTTCACTAAATACCGGTTGATCCTGTTTTACGGCCTCAAATTAAAAAAATTCTCAATTAAGCCTTGCACGTCTCTGTATCCCTTTCATTCTGGTGGTTTCCAATATTACAAGATGATGTGGCACCTGACACCCCCCTGCAGAGCCTCACACCATCCAGATGTTCTTCCTATATAATCTCTGCAGCAAGTTTTTGTAGGCAGTCAGGTCATCCTTGCCTTGTGCGTAATGTGATCCCCCAACACCCTTCCCCCCCATACACACACCTTATCATTAATGCCACACTTGACTACAAGCCTCTCCCTTTCTTAACATTATTAACCATGCTGATCATAATTACAATATCTACACAAACAATTCAACAACTAAACTGGCCATTTGAAAATGCAAATATACAATGCCAGACTTGCCCATGTCATTTCTTTATAAGGTAAAAACTGCATTACAGTTGTGTAAGGAATAAACAGGTTCTCTACAGTATCTTAATCTCAACTTAGGTGTAAATTGTACCTTAACAGCAATGATAAGAACATACTTGAAGTAACAATAACACACTGCTCATGCAAAATAGTCATAAAATAAAACTGAACTGATTGCCAAGCATGTTGGAAACTCTGTGTATTGGTATTTATAAACCTTGAAATCGCAGTTGGAGATGAAAATGAGAAATATTTTTACCTCAGTTCATTCTGCCAAGCAGGATCTGTTTGTCGAAGAAAAGTGAAAGGTGCAAAGTAAAATTTGACAGTAACAAAAAGAACGAATAACTGCAAATTTTCCTGCAATTAGAATGCATCTTAACTTGTATAGGAGTATTGATGGTAGTTTGTAAATATATTGAAAATTTACTGCCATGTGAAAAAGGACCCTCAGTTAAAATAATTCCCCCATCCCATCCCCATCTCCCATGGAGACCCTGCTACAACTATGGTATTTGGTCAGCATGCATTACTCTCAGTGGTGATGGCCAACTACTTGTCACGCAGTGGTCACTAATTAGTCAGGCACATGTGTCAAACATCATTTTGTCACGTCAAAACTTGACAAACTTCTGATCAGAATGGAAACTCTAATATCAATCCTCTATCCAATACCCATCCATGAAGAATCATCTGTTTAATCATTTTGAAGCAATTTAGATAAAACAAAATAGCTGGCTTCTCCCAAACTGCATGCACAACCTGTCAGGTGTTGCATTCCAACATAAATGAGCAGATTGTCAAGATACTGACCTGTCTCCTTGGCAGGGGACAATCTGGCAAGGTGTGTTGTACTACATACAACATGAGTGTGTATATATGGCAATGTTCATGTTATGAGGTCAGGTGGAAATGGACACAGATTTATAGGAAACAGACTGGGGTTGTCCTAGCCAGTGACACCTCCTCATTAAGTACCCTTGTCATCTCCCCTGCCTTCTTACCATTGTGTGCAGGTATCACATTCCCGGGAAGAAACAGGCCTGTCTTCACCTCTTGAACCGGAGAAAGTCTTCAATGAGCAAAGTTCAGCTGACTTAGCTGAGTTACCTATATCTGAATTTCATGGAAGCAGATCGACTGGAGCCTACACTTTCCATCAATAATATAAACATAACACTTTCCTAAATGTAATTAGGTGATAAATAATGTGTGTTTTCCCATTTAGAGTTAGCCTACCTGTAGATTTAACCACACTATCTTGAATTTGGAACTGAACAGGCAATGTGAGGTTTCCAATCTTTAATGAATGTCTTTGCAGTCATTTGAGTGAAATTGGAATATGGCAGACTCAGTCCTCTGACAGATGCAAATGAAAGGTCATAGATGCCACATGAGGTCAAATTAAACAGTTATATGTCATGTAAAGCTCTACTTCACATTACCTACATGCTGTTAGGGACGCATTTACTGTAGCAATAGTCTAAAAATACCATTATGATACTCTTGAGATAGTATGATGATTACATTTCCATTGACCAAGTTTATTATCTCCAGTTTGTCCATCTGAAGCAATACAATCTAGGTTTTGATTGTGTATAATATTCAAAGTAACAATTTTTCCAAACCTTGTCCCCAAAAATGTGCATAATAATCAGGAAAATATAGTACCACCTGTCTATGCAATATGACATCATATTCCTTTCTTATCGAGAACAATACGACATAATGTCATTCATTTTCCATGACTTCACAATCTGATAATATCACATAATCTGAAAAAATAGGCGTGACTTCAGATAGATTTTATGCATGGTCGACAGTTTGTATGTTTTTTCTGACTTGTCTGTCCTATAATGACAATGAGTAATATACAGAATTATCAACTCGATACCGGAATTACCGATTATCCATTGTGAATGAAAGTCTCGAGCTGGGGGCTCACCATTCATTAACTCGCGATAATAAGATAATACACAATTTCTCGTTGCTGTTCTGTTATTCTCAGATAACAAAATACAGGTTCAGCAGAAATTGGAAATTCTGTGATTCTGAATGAATACTGTATATATATCTCAAACAAAGTGAAATCACCAAACTACAGGACACCTTGGATCAAATTAAACTGAAAGAGGCTGGTTTATTACAAATGACCCAGAAACTGAATGGAGGCCATTTGCACAATCCTTCACAGAGGAACAATAAGAGAACCACACCCATCAAACTTCATCTCATCTGCATAAAGGAGTATGATGGGCACAGCAAGCAGTATTTCTAACAGTATCACGGGTACAGCAAGCTTAGTATTATATGTCTATTTTTCCAAAGATGGACGGGCACCTTAGGCCATAAGTGTTTTGCATTCAAAATGAAAATAAATTTGGTAATAATCTCATCAATAAGTAGGTAACTGTTATCATTAAAATAATATTGTTTTATACTTTTAAGTTGTATACATTTAATCAAAGTTTTCACAATATACTGCTTTACATTGGATGAAAAACGGACGTTCATAAGCATTAGAATAATGTATACATTTTCACAAGACTGTATTCTGGAAAATGATATAAACAGTAAATACTGACGGACTACTTCCACATTCCTGGTGAAAACCTTAGCACAAATAAATACAGAAGCATTGTTTCTGATTATTTAGACACTTTAATTATCTTAAACTCATGTGTTTTTGCGTATATTTAAAAACAGTCAAACTCGGCGTTAGAAATTGGCACCTGTCATGTAGGTCCACCCAAACTGCCCAAAAGTTAAGGTATCATAAGGACTAGTAGAAAGTTGCCATTTTTAAGGGTTTTGCTATATGTTATCATTATAAGGACTAGTGGACAGAAACTGTTAGTTTCTACTGCTGTGGTCAACATTCAGTAGAAACATTCAGTTGTAGTCAACATTCTACAGCAATCTATGAATTTACTTCAGAATCTATTCAACATATCTTCATAATCCCCTCTGAATGATCAGCCCAATGATCAAAGATGATGAACAAGGAAGATAGTTCTATAGACATGATAGATATACAACTTTTTTCAGTGTAGAGAAAAACAACAAAACATTGCATTCATAGCAATAAGGAAGTTGTGTATCCATCTCCCTTGTTCATCATGCCAACTTCTCAGTGTTACTGAGAGAAGTAAAGATGAACAACACCTAAAAAGCCACTGGTTCATTGACAAACTCGGAAATTTCCCTTGTCATGATTGTGTCAGCAATTTTGATGTCCTGTACTTATAGAGGTAGTTCTTAATAGACAACTTTAATCCAATAACAATATTATCTAAGCATGTTTAAATATATTTCTTGTAACCAAACTACAAAGACAAGTGTAAAACAATTTGGGCATACATATGCTTATGTTATCTCGCTATTTTGTTACCGCAATACAGCTGGTAGTTGTACGTCTGTCGGTGTAAACATGAAATCACACCTACATTCTAAATGAAATTGTCTATGCATCCTTTGAAGTTCAAAATTGGGACATAATAAAGACATTTAGAGTAATTTTTTAGGCTACCATTATCACTAAGTTGAAATGATATTTTTATTTTCCTGGATCAAAGTTGAAGAATACTGACCAAAGTCTATAGAGACTGAGGAAGAAAGATAACTGGCCACTCGCCACATCCTAACCTCACATGGCATTTGGAATAACCCTAACTCATGCAAATAACAAGTTTCTTTGCAACAAAGAAATCATTTACTGCATGGAATAGCTTCAGACACACCAAGCTTGCTATGATTTGCCAAACATTCTAAAAATATCACATCCTATCTCTAAAGATTATTCTAGAAATCAGCAGGGAGCTAGTGCACTCACTCTTGACATCCCCTCAGTGGGCACCTGCCTTATCATACCCCTCCATATCATAACTGCTTTGTAGATTAGAATCCCCACTGCAGGAAGTTCATCAGAGTTTGTAGGATCACTTATATTCCCCCTTTTCAAACATTTTTCTAAGGTGCTTCTCATTACAAAAGACAAGATAGTAAATAATTATATTCTGATGGCAAGCAATTCCATGTAATAGCTAACTATTGGGCATTGTGATGAAGCTGATGAAAGGCATCTGTAGATTATCCAGATAATCCCTGACAAAAGGATAACATATTTATTTACCATGTTTACAGAAGGTTATTTAGACTAACATTCCACTGGAGCCTGATGTTTACATCCAGTGAAATCTACAAACACGTTCATACAGTCTGTCCATCTGTCCTCACAAAACTGTTTGATAGTTATGGTTCCCACAGCTACTATGTGTTCTTCCATTGTACCTACAACATGTGCAATGTGTTCTTCCACTGTACCTACAACATGTGCAATGTGTTCTTCCACTGTACCTACAACATGTGCAATGTGTTCTTCCACTGTACCTACAACATGTGCAATGTGTTCTTCCACTGTACCTACAACATGTGCAATGTGTTCTTCCATTGTACCTACAACATGTGCAATGTGTTCTTCCACTGTACCTACAACATGTGCAATGTGTTCTTCCACTGTACCTACAACATGTGCAATGTGTTCTTCCACTGTACCTACAACATGTGCAATATTTCCCCATTTATCTGCAATGTACATTTCATGACTCAGTTTCGACCTTCCTCTTGTTTGCTTGTTTTAGATTCATTCATGCAACTTAAAGTTTTTTTAAAAAGTCCTATCGTGAAAACACGAAAAACAGCAGCAGGAGAAACATTATCAGCAAGTTATGCCGTATACTGTCGTGCGCATGACTGTAGTCCATAATTTGCTAAGTTTATTAAAATCCTTTTACCATTAACAAACTAGCAACCTCAACTAGACAGCAACTTGGGCATTGTTTCACTTATTTTAAGTTGTGTACTCTTCCTCTTGAAAACAGCAACAAACATCAAAAAGTCTCACTCCACTTAAAGGTTCTGATAAAGAAAACCAAATGCACAATAAAATCTAAAATCTGAATTATATACTGAGTCAAATGAAAAACTTCACAGTTTAAAAAGTAATCCCATATATGATATAAAACGGACAAATGTATCAGAGAAGGTAATTTTTAATCATTAATGTCCAAAGAAGGATTTTAATTAACGGTGGTAACCATAATTTGTGCCAAGCACCTACAGTATTCGGTAATAACATCAACAGTATAAATCATAAGTCCCAAGCTAGGGCTGTGTATTGCCCCAAATTTCGTATTGCGATATATTGCGATACATTCCTCTGTATTGCAATACGTACTGCAATATATTGTGGAAGAAAACTTATTGAGTTCTGTCCACTGTTTAA